GAGGATAAAGATCTTTGTTACAATAGAGGTGCCTAATTATATCTAGGAAAGATACCCCCAATAGGCTTAACTCATTCTCTCCTAAACCCCGTGTGAAACACACACACACACACACACACACACACACACACACACACACACAAAACAAAATAAAACAAAACAAAACTCAGAAGCTGGAGACAGCAATTCCTGGAATCTCTGACAACAGAATCAATGTGTGAGCTCTGCAGAAGGGAAGCGGTTTTGTGCGGTGTGGGTTTTGACTCTCCCACACTCAGGGCCATGGAGCTGGTGGGTCCTGGACTGTGGATATGGAGACTGCACAGGGACTGTTACTCAAGACCAATGCAGCATGTCCATTACCCAGTGTTTTCATCCAGGAAGTAACAGCAACACTTTAGTAAATCAATTCTCCAGTCCTGCCCTTAGAGATCATTCAGGAAACTGCAACTTTAGTCTGCTTCCCAATAAATAAAAATTAGTTAAATAAGTAATATCTTTCTTAAAAGGGAAGGCACACCACTTATGATCTGGTTAATGAACTGAGAATTGTAATATTTTCTTTTTCATTTTATATTATTTTATTTCTATCACCACTTATTTTAATTTTATCCTTCTGATATAAAAAAAATAACAAAACAGATACAAAAAATATGCCAGTGCCCATTATATATCATTTGGACAAAGAGCCCAGTAATGTGGACTTCAAGGACAAATCTTAATCAGTTTGTAAGACCCAGAGAAGACAAATTGTTTTGAGGTGATCATCTACAACTCAAGGAGATTTTAACTCCCTCTGCAGGTGGAATATAAAATAGTTATTCCATGTCTGATATTCAAAATGTAAGCAAAGCCAGGTCCCAGCTCTCTCCTGTTGGATGTTCTTTCTTGTATTTGTGACAACACTGAATGTTGCTGTGATAAGCCCTGTGTCTCTGTGTGTTCTGTTAAAAGTTATCACAGGAGAGTTCTGGTTTCTTTGGGCCATACTGAGGATATCTTCCCCAGACAATGAGAGCTCCCCTGGATGGAACCAAAGTCTTCTTTAAATGACATCCTCTTGGAAGATGAAAACACAGCTGCTTTCTTTCTCATCATCAATTCTCTCTCTCTCTCTCTCTCTCTCTCTCTCTCTCTCTCTCTCTCTCTCTCCCCCCCTCTCTCTCTCCATCCTGTCTCTCCAGTATTTTTCTAAAGACCAATATATAGTGTAGGCTTATTGTGTCTAATGACATTCACATTTGAGCCAACTACCCGAGCTTTCTTTAAATTTGCATCTCAAGAGAAGATCATAGACGGAGAACCTTCCTTTTGTGAGCTACAGAGGTGGGTGTGGGATGGTCCTGCTCATTAGACACTTGTAATACCATAAGTAGAGTAGAAAAAGCCAAATACTTCTCTACATCCCTTCACAGCTTCTCCAGGTTTCCTTGCTGCTGTACTGCTCTCTGGTGGTCACATTACAGAATTTTCCCAACCAATGGTCAGGTCTAGGGGCAGGACTATGAAAAGTCAAGTGAAAATTATGGGCTTTTTGTTCAAATTAAGAATTTCAGGATGACAAAAGCAAACTATTAAACCTAACATAGACTCTTCTAAGAGGCTGCACAATTTACCAGCCCATGAAGCGGCCCTGGCTTCCAGGGCAAATGGATGTGTTCATTCTCCAAGTTAATTCAATCCCAAACTCAAGTCATAAAAATGGAGAGAACTAGAGGCTTTCCTGCTAAAGATGAACAAAACTGCAAGTTTCTCAATGCCTTAGTAAGACACGTGTGTTCCAAAGGGTGGAAGTGATGCCTGCTAACGTTGATGCTCTAAGACAATGACATCAGTGATGACAGTGACACCAGAGACAAGATCAACTCTTGTGAACAGCAGTTTAAGCAAAGCATGAGCTATAGGGCCATCCACATCTGTGACCATTCAGGGATCTGCCACATCTATGGTTCCACTAGTCTGGGCCATGCTTGACGTACCTTCCAGAGAAACGGACAAGTTGCTAATTGATGTTAGAAGAATGAATGGTGCTTTGTGATACCTCTGGTGAGACCAAATAAAATAATTACGCCTAGGCAGACTCCTTGTGAACAAGCCACTTCTTGTGAATATCTTCTACAGCAATAAAACAACAGCTCCCAACAGGCTTCTAGGCCTGAGGAGAGATGAAGAGTCTGAATGTGGTCTGTAATATGACCAGGTAGGCAGAACTGCTCATCATAACCTGGGTTCTACCACAGCCACCAACATAACTTCAGGTGAGGAGAGAAGCATCCATCACAGATGTAAGTGACACATCCTGGATTAGACAAGGACAGGTGGGTACCTACCACTCTATCCCTGTGACCTACCACTGATCTCTTACCTGTGGAATCACAGAAAGTTACTCTCAATAGTCAACAAAGAAGGAAAATGCTCCACACATTCCAAGTTCATGCCAGCCCTCAATTTCTTCTCCCCCAACACACACATACCATCAGCCTTTTCCTTGCCTGTCCCCAGGATCCTAGACAGACTTACTCACTGACACACAAATCCCTGGGGGCATGGCTAACGCGTTTACTCAGCTGAGGCACATCTTAGTGTATAGAGGTGACATTGGCCTTTCATGGCTCTCCCAGGCTATGGGGAAACTGCTTTGAGAGCCAAGTGCAGACATCTCTCCTGGGTTGGAGCTGGAGGATGGATACCTCTAGCCCTCAATTTGGTCCTCACCCTCAAGCCTGCCCTGCATTCCCCAGTTTCCCCAGGCTCCGTGCCAACACCTTTTCTAGGTTGACTACCCCGGACTTCAACTAATTTCCTGGCTCAAATACCACATTCCCTAGGCTAATCTTCTGCATTCACAGTGTCCCCATCCCTCCTCACTTTTCAGACTCCTAACTCCCTACAAGATGCTCATCGCTTTTCCTTCTTGTTTCTTATTTTATGTCTATTCTGTAACTCTTGCCAGCCAGTATATTTTGTGCTCCCTCTTTTCCAAATGTCAGGACACTAATATGAATCTTCAAGAACCTTATCCTTTCCGCCAACCCCATGTCTCACCCCTTTCGCCTATCCAAGT